GGGGGAGGGGGGATGAGGGGGTAGCTGTGTGAGAGGGGACGGGTTGAGAGGGCGTGTGAGTTGCAGCGATGTCCTTGCGAATTGTGTCAATCTTGTTTTTGAAGTAATTGGCATTCTCAAGGGCAGTGAGTGAGGTGCTGGGTGGAGGTGGGGGTGGCGAGAGTAGAGAGTTGAAGGTGGAGAAGAGTCGGCGAGGATTGGAGGAGAAGGCCTTGATGAGGGTCAGGAAGTAGGCTTGTTTGGCTGCATGGAGGGAGGAGGTGTAGGTGTGGAAGGCAGATTTGTAGCGGGTGAAGGCTTGTTGGGATTTGGTTTTGTGCCATAGTCACTCCAGGGCACGACTGTGTCGTTTGAGGGTTTTGGTGTGATCAGTGTGCCAGGGCTGGAGCAGTCGGGTCTGATGTTGCGTGTGGTTAAAGGGGCTAGTGAGTCAAGGGCTGTTGACAGCGTGTTGTTATAGGCGGTCATAGCCAATTTGGGGCAGGCCAGGGGGAGGATGCTGTCGTGGAGTTGATCAGCTGCAGAGTGGAGGGGGGCAGGGTAAAGGTTGCGGAGGTTATGGCTGGTAGTAGCGTGACATTTGGAGGGGTAGGCGTTGGAGGACGAGGAGATAGGGAAGGTGATCAGGTTGTGGTCAGAGAGAGGGAAGGGGGTGTTAGTGAGGTTGTGGGGAGCGCAGCGGTTGGAGAAGACGAGATCAAGGATATCACACTACACATTTTACATATCTCTGCACACACACCAGAGGGAGAGGAATAACTCTAGGGCCATCATTCATGGTTCACTATATAAACTGATGACCTATAAAGGCTTTTAAAGCATCCCCTATGGACAATTTTTGGTACTGATGTTTGTCACCATTTCACAAGCACATGCCATTTTTAAAGCTTGACATGTTTGGTATCTATATACTTGATGCCAACCTCATCTTTCATCAAATTGGGTCATATATTGTGTTTTTCTGAACTGAAATTATTGTTAGTGTTTTTTTTACTGAAAATATGCATTTCATAGACAGCTGTGCTAATATTGTTTGATAAAAAATTTTAACCACCACCATTTTATTCTCCAGGGTCTCTGTTTTCAGAAAATAAAACACAATATTTAGGGGGCTTTAAATAATCTTCTGTTCTAACAATGTGAATGTAATCATGTGCATAAACAAGCAAAATCAACTGGCAGCGAAAGACACAACAGCAACAATGTATACAATTATCATCAAATCTATAGTAGGAACTAATGGCCTAAGAAGCAAAGCCGCCATATTACTCAACCAAGTTCCAACTAGACCCAACCAAGAAAATGGATAAAAAAGATAAACGTGCTGCGCTATTAAAACCAATAAATAAATACATATATAAACATGTAAGAAAGTGCCCACAAATATATAAAGTGACACTGTGCATCTATGTATGTGCCACTGGAATATGTGGCCAATATAAACGTGAAAGAAACACTGTGTCTAAAACATAAGTCCAGAGTGCAGGCGTGAACGAGATCTCAAATGATCTTCTGGTATCCAAAAGACACAGATTGTGGATAAGGTGAGACAATTAAAGTGAAGATTGCGCACTCACCAGATACACAACCTTATTGCGCATTTGTATGATATAATAATAAGGACATCAGACATCTCATCAAAAAGGTCTGGTCAGATCTGGTCAATGCCTCCTTCGCTATCCCACGGTTTGCACTTAGCCTTCCCAAATGGTAACCACTCTGCGGATGTACCTGGCTCCCACAGGAGCTCAGAAAGAAACAACAGAGGAGGCCAGTAGTGCAATATTGCCTTAGGATGTTTATTCCACACAATGGGTATGTATACAGCAAGAAAACAAATAAAATAGATTACTGACCGATTGCAAGCTGCCGCCGGGACCCCTTGTGGTGCCGGCGGTAAGGCGTCAAAACAGCTACAGCCCGACCCTGACGCGTTTCGAGCAAGTGCTCTTAGTCATAGGGTGTCCTGGCCATGAGCTGGATGACGCCGCACTGTCCTTTAAATAGTGGGAGTGGTGCGTGTATCATTGCCACGCGCCATCTTCCAGAGATAAGTGTCCTTACAAGCGGCGCCATTTTGGCGTAGTCCGGACTGACTGCACATGTGCGAGCGTGTGTCAGATCCCGGAAACATCGCTATACCATCATATAGGTTCACCAGATAAAAACATGTTACCATGGAGATATTACAATCCAGTGTAAGTCCCGGACCCAATTTCAAATAAATAAATAAATACTTAAAAAGTGGGGGTATACCAATTAAAACGTTGCAATTCCCTCACCGTATGGCTACATGAAAAGAAAACGTAATTTATCCTTATTAAAAGGACTTTATTGTTCCGGTCCAAGGATAAAATAATACTTTAAAATTAAAATGTATCTAAGCATATAGCTACATATAGCACAGCTGATCCTAGATTGGTAATGTTACACATATTGCACCTTGCAAAAAGATTTTATTTTTATGACTTTTTGCAACATGATCGTACTTAAAGGATATTTAAATACATCAAAGCAAAGAGTATGTCACACTAAATATCTTATTGTGTGGCATTTCAGAAAGGCATTCGTATGATTTGATAATATTATCTATGTAATAAAACTACATATGTAACTATGCAGTACCTATAGGCATACTACAATAGTATATGTATATGCATGTATGCTATTATTTATGATCTATAGCACATTGATTATAAGATATATAAAAATAAGATATATAATATATAAAAAAGAATAAATATAATATCCCATATCTTGTAATATCTTGTAAAAATGCATATATACATGCATATATAAAATCTGTCAATAATTGTAAATGTATAGAAGTAAACGTATAATGATACATATAAAAACATGTAAAAAAATAAAATACATAAAATATATAAAAATATTTATAAAAAAGACTTCGCCATGATTAGAAATCACCAGACAGATTCAATACCAAATTCAAAACCAGAACATGTTTCAAATTTTCTATGTTCATATATAAAGATATGGAATTGTAATAAATCTAAGTATGTGTAAAATTCATCAGCTGTTATCGATGAAACAATTCACATCTAGTTCTATATTCAACCCTTTTGGACGCATGGAATCCATCTGGAAAATCCATTTGTTTTCCATTTGGGACACTGCTCTCTTCTTATTAGTACCCCGCCAATGGGGTTGTACCATATCAATACCTATAAATATTAGGGATGACGGGTCTCTGTTGTGATGTGTCCTGTAGTGCATGGACAATGAATGATCTTTATAACCCTTTTTCACATTGTTAGCGTGTTCCTTAAGTCTATCTCTCAATCTTCTAGTCGTGCGTCCAATGTACTGTTTTTTACATGGGCACTGTAAGAGATACACCACGTTGCTTGCTATAACAAGAAATGAAGTTCCTAATTAGAAAAGGTTTTTCCTGTAGTAGTGGAGGTAAAGTTCTCAATTTTACGCTTCCTTTTTCCATTATAGGTGCATATAACGCACCTATTGCATGGATAAAAACCTCTCATATCACCAAACAAAGAGACCGGTTGTGGAGGGTTAACAATGTTCGGGGCAATCAGATTTCTCAAAGTCTGTGCCTTTCTATAGACTATTTCCGGTTTTTCTGGTAGAATTCTTGTTTAAAACCGGGTCGGCCTTTAAAATCTTCCAGTTCTGGTGTATTATCTTAGATATTGTTTTATACTGCCTGGAAAATGTGGTTATAAAAGGATAGACTTTTGATAATTTTTGTGATACATTGTTAGTCAATAACACCTCTCTATTCATATGTGCCACATCTTGCATGATATGAGTGAGGTGCGTATCCTCATATCCTTTTTCCAAAAATCTACTTTTTAGAATATTGGCTTGGGTTAAGTAGGTGTCTAAGGAGGTACAATTTCATCTTATTCTAAGAAATTGTCCTTTTGGTATATTAGAAAGCCATGAGGGATGGTGGCAACTATTAATGGGAATATACCCATTTCTATCTGTTGTTTTAAAAAAAGATGAAGTTACAATCACACCATCCAGGTTCATCAATGTTAAATCTAAGAAGTTGACACTGGTCTTACTATATTCAAATGTTAACTTAATGTTCAGGGTATTGTTATTGAGTGTCCCAAAAAAGTTTATTAAGGCTTGTTCATCTCCTTTCCATACAAGGAGGATGTCATCAATATATTGTTTATAAAAGCACAGTTCTGGCCAATCCCTGGCATATATGACATCCTCCTCCCATCTGGTCATAAATAGGTTGGCCAGACTCGGAGCGAACTTGGCTCCCATAGCCACACCTCTTGTCTGTAGATAAAAAATACCATCGAACCATAAGTAGTTTCTGGTCATGGCGGGCAGAGGCACATCGGGCTGGACTCCGGGCAGAGGCACATCGGGCTGGACTCCGGGCAGAGGCACATCGGGCTGGACTCCGGGCAGAGGCACATCGGGCTGGACTCCGGGCAGAGGCACATCGGGCTGGACTCCGAATCAACAGGAGGCGGCGGGCCCCCAGGCGGAGCGGAGGGCGCCGGGCCCCCAGGCAGAGTGGTGGGCCCTCAGGAGGGGCGGCAGGCACCGGGGCCCCCGGGCGGAGCGACAGGCATCAGACCCCCGGGCGCAGCGACCGGCATCGGCCCCCCCGGGCAGGGCGGCGGGCTACCAGGCATCGGGCCCCCAGGCAGGGCGGTGGGCGCCGGGCCCCAAGGTGGAGCAGCGGGCGCCGGGCCCCCAGGCGGAGCGGCAGGCATCGGGCCCCCAGGCAGGGCAATGGGCGCCGGGCCCCCAGGCGGAGCGACAGGCGACGGGCCCCCAGGCAGGGCGCCGGGCCCCCAGGAGGGGCGACAGGCATCGGGCCCCCAGGAGGGGCGACAGGCGCCAGGCCCCCAGGAGGGGCGACGGGCGCCGGGCCCCCAGGAGGGGCGACGGGCGCCGGGCCCCCAGGAGGAGCGACGGGCGCCGGGCCCCTAGGCGGGGTGCCGGGCCCCCAGGAGGGGCGACAGGCATCGGGCCCCCAGGAGGGGCGACAGGCATCGGTCCCCCAGGAGGGGCGACAGGCATCGGGCCCCCAGGAGGAGCGACAGGCATCGGGTTATCAGGCACGACAACGGGCATCGGGTCACCAGGCATCAAAAATTTGGCTCGCCAGCGGGCACCGCGTCATCTGGCAAGGCAGTGGGCACCGAGTCACCAGGCACGACAGTGGGTTCCGAGTCAACTGGCATGACCACGGGCACTGGGTCAGACATTGGATTGTCTGGCTCGACAGCGGGCAACGGGTCACCAGGTACGACAGCGGGTACTGGGTCACCAGGCATCAGGTCATTTGGCTCGCCAGCGGGCACTGCGTCATCTGGCAAGGCAGTGGGCACCGAGTCACCAGGCACGACAGTGGGCTCCGAGTCAACTGGCATGACCGCGGGCACTGGGTCAGACATTGGATCGTCTGGCCCGACAGCGGGCATCAGGTCACCAGGCATGACAGCGGGCACTGGGTCATCAGGCATTGGATCGTCTTGCTTGACAGCGGGCATCGGGTCAACTGGCCTAATGGAATCATCAGGCTGGATGAGTTCATCAGGCTGGGTAGAGACATCAAAAAAGGGGGGTTTGTGAAAAGAGATTCACAGAAAAGCGGCTACATAGTGAACAGAACGTGACACACAGGAAGAAATTTCCAAAAATTATGCTTTATTACACATATAAAAATATGACATATGGGCATTCGCCCTGGTTTACCATCACCTCAGTTGAGACAATACACACAGACCTAAAACCATTTAAAATGACACCAGAACCGGTCTAAATGTATGTGCAGCAGGGAAAATGGCTACAAGAGTCTAGTGTCCCTGTAGCACAAACACACAGGTGAACACTTCCCTAGGGAGGTGTATCCAAAAATTATGCCATGGGCATACCATAATAGAGGATATAAGGGATTAAGCAGTAACCATATTGGCAAATCCCAATCAAGGAATCCAAAAATTATACTATAGATATGTATGTCACATGTATACAATAGAGCAAGCACAATATGCGTCAAAAAGGAGAGTAGCAGGCCTCAGGCCTGTATGAAGGAAGACATAAATGTCAAATATATTGTACAATACATTCCTGTGCCGGCACAAGTGGTTGGGGCCCATTCATCTGTAATATAGATAGCTGTTTCCTAGAGCTCTTGGATGGGAATATGCCCCATTTATTTCCAGGATGGAGGAAAAGATGCACAAAGCAGCACTCTGCTTGAAGTGGTTTCTTCACCACTACATGTGGACTATACACCACTTTTGTAGGAAAAAACAAGACACATCCCAAAGACTCTTCTGCCTGTTGAAATATATATGGTATATCTTGTTTCCTATACAACGCACCATGATGTCCCCATCCTGTAGTGAAACAAACAATATGTGGGAAGTCACTGACAGAGCTAACACTCTATAGAAGATATATAGGTCATATAGATCACAGAGGACCATATATCTAGTGTCCTGTAACAATCCACTCACCACCTGTGCTATGGATAACAGGAATGAAAGAGAAGTCCTTCATAGGTACTGCCATACAGGGCCAAGGCGGCCAAGGAACCACCGCTGACATCCGCCGATATACCGCGGGTTCCAGCCCCTTCTCGGCGCTTGTGCTGCTTAAGCTTGCCTCATGGCTTGTGAAGATGGCTTCCTCCTTATGGGTCAGCGTGCGTTCCACCTAGTGCGCATGACCGGAAGTGACGTATCTGACGTATGACGTCAACGCGTTTCGCCGATGGGCGTATCTCACTCAGCTTCGTCAGGACCAATGAAACAACCGCATTTCAATTTTCTATTTATAGTGGGTCAGATACGTCACTTCCGGTCATGCGCACTAGGTGGAATGCACGCTGACCCATAAGGAGGAAACCATCTTCACATGCCATGAGGCAAGCTTAAGCAGCACAAGCGCCGAGAAGGGGCTGGAACCCGCGGTATATCGGCGGATGTCAGCGGTGGTTCCTTGGCCGCCTTGGCCCTGTATGGCAGTACCTATGAAGGACTTCTCTTTCATTCCTGTTATCCATAGCACAGGTGGTGAGTGGATTGTTACAGGACACTAGATATATGGTCCTCTGTGATCTATATGACCTATATATCTTCTATAGAGTGTTAGCTCTGTCAGTGACTTCCCACATATTGTTTGTTTCACTACAGGATGGGGACATCATGGTGCGTTGTATAGGAAACAAGATATACCATATATATTTCAACAGGCAGAAGAGTCTTTGGGATGTGTCTTGTTTTTTCCTACAAAAGTGGTGTATAGTCCACATGTAGTGGTGAAGAAACCACTTCAAGCAGAGTGCTGCTTTGTGCATCTTTTCCTCCATCCTGGAAATAAATGGGGCATATTCCCATCCAAGAGCTCTAGGAAACAGCTATCTATATTACAGATGAATGGGCCCCAACCACTTGTGCCGGCACAGGAATGTATTGTATATATATATTTGACATTTATGTCTTCCTTCATACAGGCCTGAGGCCTGCTACTCTCCTTTTTGACGCATATTGTGCTTGCTCTATTGTATACATGTGACATACATATCTATAGTATAATTTTTGGATTCCTTGATTGGGATTTGCCAATATGGTTACTGTTTAATCCCTTATATCCTCTATTATGGTATGCCCATGGCATAATTTTTGGATACACCTCCCTAGGGAAGTGTTCACCTGTGTGTTTGTGCTACAGGGACACTAGACTCTTGTAGCCATTTTCCCTGCTGCACATACATTTAGACCGGTTCTGGTGTCATTTTAAATGGTTTTAGGTCTGTGTGTATTGTCTCAACTGAGGTGATGGTAAACCAGGGCGAATGCCCATATGTCATATTTTTATATGTGTAATAAAGCATAATTTTTGGAAATTTCTTCCTGTGTGTCACGTTCTGTTCACTATGTAGCCGCTTTTCTGTGAATCTCTTTTCACAAACCCCCCTTTTTTGTATGCCTTTTTTGGCTACTGAATGGAGACCATACATTGGGTGACACGCTAATTTATTCAATAACCTCTTAAATAACTATCTTAGTATATGGGTAGAGACATCAGGCTGAATGGAGGCATTAGGCTGAATGGAGGTATCAGGCTGGGTGGAGGAATCAGGCTGGGTGGAGGCATCAGGCTGGGTGGAGGCATCAGGCTGGGTGGAGGCATCAGGCTGGGTGGAGGCATCCGTAAGTAAGCGCAGGTTTGTAAATGGATGGAGCAGCTGGAGACAGAGAAGAGCTGGAGGATGGAACAGGGGAGGGAACAGTTGCTACAGAGGGCTTTTTTACAGGGTTAAAGGCAGGATAGGTGCAGCGAGTGGGAACAGGGTACTGAAATGCGTTAGATAGCAGGGTATACTGGGCTGTAACTGGAGGTGCTGTTGGGAATGCAGGAATAGAGCTTTGAAGAAATAGATTAGAAGCAGGACTGGGTGTTTGCAAGCTGACTGAGGCTGGGTGCAACAAGTCTGTCCATGTCTGCAGTAGGGGTTGAACAAAGCTGAGTTTACACAAAGTCTGTCTGGTCAATGACTGCACTGCGTTTATACAATCTCTTAGTACCTGTGGTGAACATGCAGAATAACGCTCCAGAAAGCAATCCACATCATCCTCTAATAACCACACCAGGGACTCTACCTGGTCTGCACTAAATGGCGGCAAAAATCCATCCCTGCATTCGGGGGTACCAGATGAAACCAACTCCGCACAAACCTGAATCAATGGCTGCACCTCAGAGAACTCTGTGCCCTGATCTACTAGAACATGAGCGATCCGTATACATTCTAGCAGTTCATCCCGGGGATACTCCTTCAGAGTTTGATAAGCATACTCCCTGTCATCAAACACTAGCAGATATAAATACACAACCTCATCCAGATCCATCCTTCCCAGCAACAAACCAAGATGGCTTCCCTGTGCAGCCACTTCTGGTCAGGATTGGCCTTGGTGTAATGTCAGGGCTCCAGGTATGACCAGAGGTATGTGAACTGACACAGGGAAACGCAGGCTTCAGATAAGTTATAAACAATATAATTTATTAAAGACTAACAATACAAACAAACGCAGTGCAATACTAAAACATAACACAGTGCAAACAAACCAAACCAACCACCCACAGATGACAGTACATACAATGCAAGCGTCGTCAGGCAGGCCGGGTCAATAATAATCGGGCAGGTAGGAACAGGGGGTCAGGCAGAGAATGGTCGGGGTCACAAGCCAGGGATCAAACAGGAGAAGTCAGCAGAGGTCCGGATCAGGCAGAGTCAGCAACGAATCAGACAGAGACAGGGACAGGAACAGGAATGCAGGTAACAAGATACAGGGGCCCAGGAAAAACACACACCAAGGGAACAGACTGCAGGTCTGGCCATCCCTTAAATACACCAGTAATCAGCCTCAGGTGTATTGGCTGACTACAGGGTTGCGTCTCTGATTGCTGGGAAGCACCCGCTAGCCAGCCCTAGTACTGTAGCCCACAAGGCAGGTGAGTCCCACCATTACTGGCAAGTCCATTCCTGACACCCTCTTCTTCCATCCTATGATCCCTCACTCACATCTTCAATCTCTCCCTCTCTACTGGTGCCTTCCCCTTCCCTCTAAAGCATGCGCACATCACTCCCATACTTAACAAGCCCTCTCTGGACCCCACCAACCTGAACAACTTAAGACCCATCTCCCTGCTGCCATTTACCTCTAAAATCCTAGAACTCTTAGTCTACAATCACCTGAGCTCCCACCTCATCGACAACAACTTTCTCGACCCTTTACAGTCTGGCTTTCACTCACTACACTCCACTGAAACTGCCCTACTAAAACTCACTAATGATCTACTAACTGCTAAAACCAATGGCCACTACTCCGTACTCATCCCAACCACTGGCCACTACTCCGTACTCATCCCAACCAATGGCCACTACTCCGTACTCATCCCAACCAATGGCCACTACTCCGTACTCATCCCAACCAATGGCCACCACTCCGTACTCATCCCAACCAATGGCCACCACTCCGTACTCATCCCAACCAATGGCCACCACTCCGTACTCATCCCAACCAATGGCCACCACTCCGTACTCATCCCAACCAATGGCCACCACTCCGTACTCATCCCAACCAATGGCCACCATTCCGTACTCATCCCAACCAATGGCCACCACTCCGTACTCATCCCAACCAATGGCCACTATTCCGTACTCATCCCAACCAATGGCCACCACTCCGCACTCATCCCAACCAATGGCCACCACTCCGCACTCATCCCAACCAATGGCCACCACTCCGTACTCATCCCAACCAATGACCACTACTCCGTACTCATCCCAACCAATGGCCACTACTCCGTACTCATCCCAACCAATGGCCTCTACTCCGTACTCATCCCAACCAATGGCCACCACTCCGCACTCATCCCAACCAATGGCCACCACTCCGTACTCATCCCAACCAATGGCCACCACTCCGCACTCATCCCAACCAATGGCCACCACTCCGTACTCATCCCAACCAATGGCCACCACTCCGTACTCATCCCAACCAATGGCCACCACTCCGTACTCATCCCAACCAATGGCCACCACTCCGCACTCATCCCAACCAATGGCCACCACTCCGTACTCATTCCAACCAATGGCCACCACTCCGTACTCATCCCAACCAATGGCCACCACTCCGTACTCATCCCAACCAATGGCCACTATTCCGTACTCATCCCAACCAATGGCCATCACTCCGCACTCATCCCAACCAATGGCCACCACTCCGTACTCATCCCAACCAATGGCCACCACTCCGTACTCATCCCAACCAATGACCACTACTCTGTACTCATCCCAACCAATGGCCACTACTCCGTACTCATCCCAACCAATGGCCTCTACTCCGTACTCATCCCAACCAATGGCCACCGCTCCGCACTCATCCCAACCAATGGCCACCACTCCGTACTCATCCCAACCAATGGCCACCACTCCGCACTCATCCCAACCAATGGCCACCACTCCGTACTCATCCCAACCAATGGCCACCACTCCGTACTCATCCCAACCAATGGCCACCACTCCGTACTCATCCCAACCAATGGCCACCACTCCGCACTCATCCCAACCAATGGCCACCACTCCGTACTCATCCCAACCAATGGCCACCACTCCGTACTCATCCCAACCAATGGCCACCACTCCGTACTCCTCCCAACCAATGACCACCACTCCGTACTCCTCCCAACCAATGGCCACTACTCCGTACTCCTCCCAACCAATGGCCACTACTCCGTACTCCTCCCAACCAATGGCCACCACTCCGTACTCATCCCAACCAATGGCCACTACTCTGTACTCATCCCAACCAATGGCCACCACTCCGCACTCATCCCAACCAATGGCCACTACTCCGTACTCATCCCAACCAATGGCCACTACTCTGTACTCATCCCAACCAATGGCCACTGCTCCTTACTCTTACTACATGACCTCTCTGCAGCTTTTGATATGGTTGACCATCCCCTCCTCCTCAAAAAACTCCACTCTCTTGGCCTCCAAAACTCTGCTCTCTCCTGGTTCTCCTCCTACCTATCACAGAACTCATTCAGCATTACCTTTAACTCTCTGCCTCCTCCTCTTCACTCCCTCTTTCTGTAGGGGTCCCTCCAGGTTCTGTCCTTGGACCCCTACTGTTCTCCATCTACACCTCCTCCCTTGGTCACTTGATAAACTCCCATGGCTTTAAGTACCATCTCTATCCTGATGACACACAAATCTATCTTTCTGCCCCTCACCTCACCCCTTCAGTCTCCTCCACACCTCACCCCTTCAGTCTCCTCCTCACCTCACCCCTTCAGTCTCCACTTGCATTACTACCCTACTAAGTGACATATCGGCATGGATGTCACTCCACTTCCTCAAACTCATTCTTTAAAAAACTGAGCTCTTAGTATTCCCCCCAGCCTGTGCCCCCTCCCCCGACTTCTCCATCAAGATCAATAACACAATCATCAGTCCCTCCCCTCATGTCAGGGTACTAGGTGTAATCCAAGACTCCCATCTGTCCTTTCAGTCCCTAATCCAATCACTGTCTAAATCTTGCAGACTTCACCTCCGCAATATCTCCAAGATACGGCCATTTCTTAACCTCGGAAACCACTAAGAAACTTATTCACTCCCTTGTTATATCACGCTTCGACTATTGTAACTCCCTCCTCATTGGCTGACCTCATTGCAGGCTATCCCTTATTCAGTCTTTCATGAATGCTGCTGCCATCATCCACCTTACAAACCATTCTGTATCAGCCATCCCTATCTGCCAATCCCTCCACTCAGTGTCCTCCACCCCTCTCTGCCAATCCCTCCACTCAGTGTCCTCCACCCCTCTCTCTGCCAATCCCTTCACTGGCTTCCCATTGCCCAACGGAGAAAATTCAAAACACTAACAATACATATAAAGCCATTTATAACTCTGCCCCAAATGACATCACCGATCTTGTCTCCAAATATCACCCAAACCGTACTCTCCGCTCCTCGCACAACCTCCTGCTCTCTAGCTCCCTTGTCTCCTCCTCCCATGCTCGTCTCCAGAGCTTCCCCCATCCTCTGGAACTCTCTACCCCAATTTATCAGACTATTGCCTACTCTGCTCACTTTTAGGTGATTTCTGAAAACCTCTCTCTTCAGGGAAGCCTATCCTGCCCTCAGCTAATAATGGAATCTTTTACTCTTCCAACCAGTCCATCCCCCACAGTTACTACCTTTTTTACCACTAGCCCCTCCCTCCTAGATTGTAAGCTCTGAGGAGCAGGGCCCTCCTATCCCTCTTGTATTAAACTGTATTGTTACTGTATTGTCTCCCGTTATATTGTAAAGCGCTGAGCAAACTGTTGGCGCCACATAAATCCTGTATAATAACAATAATAATAATATTAATGAGAGATGAAATGTGGAAAGAAAGGCATTGATAATGGGAGAGGAGATGGAACATGTAATGGGAGGAGTGGCCAAGTTGGGCTTAGCTGGAGACCTCAAGCCTGGCTGATGATGTATCAATAGTCAGAAGAACCTGGAATGGACTCTCCCACTGAGATTTCAGAGACTTGGTAAGATGACAATAGACCCCATCCTAGTCTCTGGTACTGAGGCAGTGCTGGTCATGTATTACCTCAGGATCCAGAAATGAAGAAAATGCTTGGAAACACAACTCAGTTGGTGAATCATGAAAATGCATTACATGTTCATTCAAAGCTCCATAAAAAAAGATAAAGATGAGAATCATGAGGGAAGCTGTTCAGTTATTGATGCTTATCTTAAAAACAATTGTCAAAAGATAAAATATTCAAATCCCTTCTAGTTGTGTATTGATGGACATAAGCACTAAACTCAGTTCATCCAATCATTACATTCCAGTTTGCTCAGATTTTAGTTTGTTTCTCTTAAAGTAGCATTTTATCTTCTCCCTTCTTCTCTAGCTTGTGGGATGACATTGTGGATGTGAAACTAACTTGTGACACCTGAAACTTCTTTAATATTCCTTTTTTCCAGAATATAATCTATGCTGAGATTTGTGAATCCTCCGGTGATAGATTAGACCGGCATTAACTGTAAAAAGCTTTGTCACATTGAGAGCATTAAAATGGCTTCTCTCCAGTGTGAATCTTCTGGTGTCTGATAAGATTTGACTTCTGTGTAAAAGCTTTATCACATTCAGAACACTGATATGGCTTCTCCAGTGTGAATCCTCTGGTGTCTGATAAGATGTGACTTATGACTAAAAGCTTTATCACATTCAGAACACTGATATGGCTTCTCTCCAGTGTGAATCTCTGGTGTGTGAATCCTCTGGTGTGTGATATTTCAGAACACTGTATGACTTCTCTCCAGTTTGACTCTTATGTGTAAAAGCTGTTTTATCACATTCAGAACACTGATATGACTTCTCTCCAGTGTGACTTCTGGTGTCTGATAAGATCTGATTTCCCTGTAAAAGCTTTTATCACATTCAGAACACTGATATGACTTTCTCTCCAGTGTGAATCCTCTGGTGTCTGATAAGATGTGACTTCTGAATAAAAGCTTTATCACATTCAGAACACCGATATGACTTTTATTCAGTGTGAATCCTCTGGTGTCTGATAAGATGGTGACTTCACTGTAAAAGCTTTATCACATTCAGGAACACTGATATGACTTCTCTCCAGTGTGAATCCTCTGGTGTGTGTTAAGACTTGACTTCTGTGTAAAACCTTTAATCACATCCAGAACACTGATATGGCTTCTCTCCAGTGTGAATCCTCTGGTGTCTATTAAGATTGACTTCAGAGTAAAAGCTTAATCACATTCAGAACACATGATATGGCTTCTCTCCAGTGTGAACTCTTTGGTGTATTATAAGGTATCTCTTGCTTGTAAACGTTTTGCCACATTCAGAACAATGATATGATCCTCCATTGTGAACCCCCCCTCCATTGTGAAACCTTCTGGTGTGTGATATATTTTCTCTCCATTTGTAAAATCTACAAACAAGTAGTTTGAAAAGACTCCTCTTACGTATATTTGGGTGGACTTTATTGTAAAGCCATTGTCACTTCCAGAACACTGAAATTACTTTTCTCCTGCTGGATCAATGTGGAAGAGGATCCAAACCATGACTATTGATTAGAACACAGATATGACTTGTATCCCTTAGTGAATCCTCCAGTGAACTGCAATAAAGACTTTCAGTCAATTAAGACAACCATGTGTTTTATTTTTCCATGTGACTCAGCTGTATTCATGAAGACAAAAAAGTCCCAAAAACCTGGTTCATCAATCTACCTGTAGAAAAGAAAAAAGATAGAATTCTATATAAAGGGCTACATAAAGTTGCTTTCTATTTTATAATGTTCATTACTAAATATATCCTTATGAATAGAAAGAATATGTACAGCATTATCTACAGTATTTGTTTTAATCAAATAGATTTTATTAAGAAAGTTTATAAGTGTGTCACAGACTATTCCCAACATTCAGCCCAGACAATGCGAGTCATACATTTCTCACTATAGGCAGTTGTGGCACTGTTTACAGATCATACAGAACAAATAACTTGCTTTGTCTATGGTGTCACTTTTACCTTTTATAAACAAATGAACAGAGAAAAGAAGAAACAACCTAGAACAATTCAGCTGTACACGGCAAGTAACTCCCCCCCAGTACATACATAGATAGCTGACACCGATCAATGAGGCCCGTGTCTACAGGATCATAACCCAAGTATGGGTTTTCTCCCATGTAGTCACCATTCAGTAGGATAACAACTGGCCGTTTTCTCCTTCTATGGGGCAAAAAGAGCTAAGAATTTTAAAAGCCTATGAAGAACTAACTAGGAGTGAGCAAGAGTAATCCAGCCAGTTCTGCCAGACATACATCTCCTGGGGGAATTACAATGTTGGCAAGTTTGTTTTTCACATGTTAATGTGGAGTTCACCTGCCTCAAGTCACTGTTGTCTTCTGGGAGTTTGACATGATAGCGAAGATCGTAATATTTTTTAATGGTCAATAAAACAGCAGCCTCACAATTGCTATATGACTTGTAATTAGGAGGAGGTGTAAAATAATTTCCTCGTCTATTGACACCAAGAGGCACACCCGAGGAATAATGAACACCAACATTACAATACTGGTCATATCGTTCCACTTTTTGAATATCTCCAAAAACACGTATCAAATCCCAACATCACCGCTACAAGTGGGGTCAAAGGGGAAATCCCTCCTGTCCCTAGCTGAACAATTGAGCTGGGTCCTGAAAAGCTCTATGCAAAAGAAATGACTGAGTTTCTGTGAAGAGGACAGAGAGATGAGAGGTATGGAGGTCAAAATCATCTCCCACCACTTTCTCTTATTTCCTCTGACTGTTTTCCATTTCTTTTCTATAAGTCTTCAGTAAGAGTCAAAAGACCTGGAATATAATATATATGAGAGATTCATGCCTTTCCACTGGTGCTATCTGAAGCCCATTAACAAGTGTGAGAGTGATGTGAAATCTCTGTATCTGATGGAAGTAGAAACCGATGGATGGGATCTAATGTGTCTACTAAGTCCCACCTGGTAAGATGCTGAAGTTGGGCAGCTATAAAATTAAAGTCTAACATCTGGTAAATTGCTAGGGCCTCCTTGGTCTTTCACTAGAGATGAGACGAATCGAACATGACGACGTGGAAATTCGTTCTGAGATGTAAGATTTGGAAAAATTCTATTCGCGACGAATCCGAAGATTAGCAAACTTCGGATGCACGAATCAAATTTTCCCCCAAAAATGGCGGCGACATGTGTGGCGACGGAGAAAATGGACAGAGAAGATGGGGCGGGGATCTCTGGGAAGGCGCGCCAGACAAGGCGCGCTGACCCCATAATGCATTCATGACATGTTGAGATCGCATTAGCCAATCAGCAGCCAGCCAGCACTGTGTAATGGTGGAGCTATAAATCCGCGGCCATCTTAGAATTCTCCATTAAGCCTCCGGTCATTCAAGAGAGACAGACCTGTGTGTATTAAGGGACAGAGTTAGGGCCACAGAGACTTTAGGGCCACATAATCGTTACTCAGGGACACAGAATCGTTACTCAGGGACACAGAATCGTTACTCAGGGCCACAGCTAATCAAAGAATCGAAAATTTTAAAGTGTACAATACACCCCTTTTTTTTTTTTTGGTGGCTGTCGTGCCACAGTTGGTGCTGCAGTTTGCCGATTGTGCAAAATAAACTGACTTTCTGCTTCACAACCACTATTGTACGTTCAAAGAGTTAGATCCATTTACACGCCGGCTGGCGGTAATATTTTTTGGGTGATTAGTGCATTCCAGTGACACAAACGTACATATTTTCCAGCCAACGGCAAGCTGCAATTGACCGAGATTGTGTACAATAAACTGACTTTCTGCTTCACAACAACTATTGTACGTTCAAAGAGTTAGATCCATTTACACGCCGGTGGCGGTAAATATTTTTTGGGTGATTAGTGCATTCCAGTGACATAAAACGTACAGTTTCCAGCCAACGGCAAAGCTGCAATTGACCGATTGTGCTAAATAAACTGACTTTTCTGCTTCACAACCCACTATTGTACGTTCAAAGAGAGTTAAATCCATATACACGCCGGGTGTGCGGTAATATTTTTTGGGTGATGCACGCTGCTGCTGGGGGGACTTTTTAACATAGGCCTCTGTATGGGCCTTTAATTGAAGCTGCTTACGCTCCGCCACACTCTGCCATGGGCCTCTTGGGTATCCCAGAAGCTGCTCAGTGGGTCAGGGTCAATAAAGCCTCCCGGTTCGCAGGTTGTTACCGTCTTATGGATGGAAGTACGACGGTATATGATAATCTCTTCGCACCCACGGCATTACTTCGTAGAATTTTCTTGCATTGCATCTGCAATCACAACGCTGACTTCCCCGGATCGCCACTCAGCCATTGGACTCTTGATAGTCGTCTCCCCCACGCTGCTGCTAGGGGGACTTTTTTAACCTAGGGCCTGTGTATGGCCTTCAATTGAAGCTGCTTCTGCTCCGCCACTCTGCCATTGGACTCTTGATAGTCGTCTCCCCACACTGCTCTGCTGGGGGGACTTTTTTTAACATAGGCCTCTGTATGGCCTTCAATTTAAGCTGTCATATCCGCTTCGCCACTCTGCCATGCCGGCCCCTGTACCGCCTCCTTTTGCTGCTGCCAGGTCCAGAGTGTGTCATGGGTCCCTGTATGCGCCTCCCATTGCTGCATGACTTCATCGCCAGACTCTGCCATGTGCCACTTTCTGGGATCTCCTTACACTGTGTTGGTGGTTCCATTTTTGTGATTAGGGAGCGGTTATGGCCTTCCCAATGCTGTGCTGCCTCCACCGCCACCCTGCGCCCACTTGTTGCCTTCTGTCGCGTCTGCCTACGCGTGGCTGCTGACGGCTTTCCGCTTTTTAACCGAGGCCTGTTGTTTTGCTTCCAGAATTGTATTCTTTCTTGTATTGCATTTGTCCATCCGCCCTCTCTCTCTGCCATGTGTCTATGTCGTTGTTCTAGCTCTACTTTTTTGTTTTGCTGCTTTGGTACTTTGGCTTCTTCCCGCCTTTTTAACTAGGTCCTGTGTAATGGCTTCAAGAATAATGCTGCCTACAACCGCCACCCTGCGCCATGGATGCCTCTGTCATCTTGCACACGCTGCTGCCAGGTCCATACTGATTCATTGGCCCCCAGTACCTGGCTCCTCATGAACGAGGTTCCAGCGGGGTTTGCATCACTTAACGGCAAAAATCGTTGACAAAACGCTGGGGACGTTCAGTGTTGTGCGCATTAAGCCAGACACCAAAGGGCAGCAAGGACACCTGTTTTACTCCTCAAGCCTGGCTAACAAAACCAGTCTCTCCACAAATTTTGGAACCCCCCAAACCCCCCGGGGGCCGTAAGTTGATTGCCCCGGAGAGTGAAATTTTGTTATTGGAATTAACTGTGAGGGATTTTAACCCCTTGGCCGTGTAGGCCCCTTCCCCCGGGGAAACTGCTTCTGCTCCGCCACTCTGCCATTTTGGGCTCTTTATAGCCGTCTCCCCCGCTGTGCTGGGGGGATTTTTAACATAGGGGCCCCTTTTTTGGCCTTCAATTTTTTGCTGCTTTCGCTCCGCCACTCTGCCAAAGGGCCCCTGTACCCGCCTCCCATGCCTGGGCCAAGGCCCCTAATTGCCATGGGCCCCCGTACCGACTCCCCATGCTTGGCCCGGCCCCTTTAAACTGTCATGGGCCCCCTTTCCCGCCCCTCATTTCTGTTCCAGGTCCAGAGTGTGTCATGGGGCCCCGTAAAGGCCCTTTCCCCTTGCTGCTGTCCCATCGCCCCACCCCTGCCATGGGGGGCCCCTTTTTGGTTCCTCACACTGCTGGGGGGTTTCCCTTTTTTTTTCATAGGGGCTGTATGGCCCCCCCATTGCTGTGCCTCCCCCCGCCCCACGGGGGGCTCCAAAACTCTTTTTTTGGCCCCCTGACGCCCCAAAAGGTGGAAGTGTGCGGTTTTAAACTAAGATCGAAGGCACTCCCTCTGCAAATTTATACTGACTGACAGTTTTTATTTCTCTTCCCCCGCAACTCCAAAGGGGCATTTAAATTAAAGGTTTCGGTTCTGCACAAAAAAAAAGGCTTCTGAAGCCCAAAAAAACACCCTTTTTATAAAATTTTAAAATTTGCCCCCCAAATTATTCGGCCCGAAGCGAATTTTTTCGGCGGGAATTTGGCGAATAAACCAACCAAATTTTTTAATAAATTTGCTCATCTCTTTGTCTTCACCATACTGTAGATTTGTGAGTTTGATTCACTGCCGGCTTCTTCTAAATGAGTTCCCCCCAAAATGGGGGTCTATATTGGGAGAAAACCCCCTTACGAGGGTTCCAAAATGGGAGAAAATTTTGGATAAAGAGGAATTGTGGTGTCCATA